CAAAGAAAGGAAAGAAAAAAAAAGTGAGCATACGGATTGCATATTTACTGACCCGGACAGCAGCAGAGCCAGGAGGTAGACCTTGGCGTTCGATGAAAAGACTCCAAGACGGCGGATACGCAGGGAGGCCGACGATCACCTGAGGAAGGAGTCCTTACCTGCGTCGGGTCACCGTAACGGTCCGCGGATAGAGTCGTCCCGGGGGGAGAGCGGGGTGGAGCGGGGTGGTAGGACCGAGGGTGGGACGAGAGCAGCGGTGTCAGCGGGGTGCGGTTTCGTCGGGAACGTTTTTATTGTCTAGGTCAAGCCACCCGGCGTGTCTACATAGCGTTGGGAGTTGCGGCGCGGAGTGAGCTCAGGACCGGGCGACACGCACCGGCTGAAGTGTTTGCTCCAGGCGGGGTCATGTCAGCAGCAGCGCGGGGGACTCGGGCTCCTCGAGGAGGTCGCCTCGCGTGAAGAAGCGCCCTTTAGACTGTGAGGTGGCGAGCGAGAGGAGAGGAAAGGCGGGGAGACACAGCGTCTGATCTCCCTCGCACGCGTTCAGAACTCTCTTTCACAGGTGTCAATTTTTAAAGGGTGTTGCAGGGGGGTCTCGACGTGCCCCGTCACACAGCGTGACAGGCCTTGCACCTTGATTAAACAAACATACCCGCCTGCCTGGCGTGGCGGCCGAGCGAGGGGGGTACCCGCGAGATGTGACCTCATGCCACGGCCCACCCGGGCACCCGGGCCCGCCGCGAGGCACAGCCAGTCTCCGGGGCGCTCACCTCCTGCGATATTGCACACACCGCGAGCCACCTGTGCACCCGCCCGCCCCGGCCCAAACTCACGGCCGGGGATGTTCCGGGAACGCCGTGACATTGGCGGGCGTGGCGGGGCGTGGCGGGGGGCGGCAGAGGAGGGCGCCCTCCTGGCATGCACCCGCAGGCCGTGCACTTGTGCTGCAGGCTCCCGCGTGTCCGGCTCGGCCCGCCGCCCGGCTCGGCTCCGCCCGCCCCGCCACCACGGCCCGGCCCGGCCCGCTCGCCGCGGGCTCGACTCGTCCGAGCGCCGCGCCACGCCCCGCCACGCCGCGCCGGCCTCGCGCCGGCACCACACCAGACGGCACCAAGACCTGCTTTATAAGGAGAGAAACCAGCTGCTGTGTATCGCTGTGCTTCGCATGGCTTTGGCGCGGCTCGGCTCGACTTTGCGTCGGTCATGTCGCTTTGCTTCTCACAGCCATACGCCAGCCCGGCGCGCCATAGCCTCGCCGCCGCCCCGTCGTGAACGCGTCCCCCAAAACCACGTACCATCGGCGCAGACTCCTACAACCCAAAGAGCCAAGAACCCACATCCCTTGCTCAAAGTCACGCACCAACGTGGAAGTAAAAATCACGCGAGCAAAAATAAGTGATGAAAGCAGCTCGATCCTGCAGAGCTCTGCCTGCAGCCCCCGCGGCCAGCTCCGCCAGCTACGCACCGCCACGCCGCGCGCGTCAACAACACTCCCCAAAGCGGAGACAGACTCACGCGGCGCGGCGGCGGCGGCCGTGGGAAACAAGCAGCGGCCAGGTGTGGGTCCTCCGAGTGCGCACAGCATAATGAGCTCGGCAAAAGAAAATGACACGGGGGTTGTAATCAAGTGATAAGGCACACCACCCCCTGGAAAAGATATTGAGGGTTCAGTGTGCCTTACAAAAAAAGGGCAAAAGGCACTCATGTTGGCCACTATTGAGGCACCTAATTCAAATTTCTTCAGCACTATCAGCAAAGGTGCGAATTGTACACGGTAAAAACAATGCCTCATATTTTGAGGGAAAAGGGGAAAACTTTGAGGAACTTCCTTATTTTAAGGAGCGCTCCCCAGATTTTGAAGAAGTCTCCTCAAAAATGCGGGAATTACTCCTTATTCTTTGAGGAGGTTTCTCAAAATCTGAGGCGAGATCTGAGGAGTGTTTCTCAAACATGGTGGTTCCTCAAAGTTTTCCCTTTTCCCTCAAAAGATGAGACATTGTTTTTACCAGGTAGCACCTTTCGTCTTGGAACACACTAAAAATAGGAAAGGTCAATTTTGTATCAAGCCAAGATGTGTTCTTTACTCAGCACACTTCAACTGATGCAAAATTTGTATCTGGAAAGGTACAAGTTGTATCTAGCTTAAAAAAACTTTTTGTGTGTTTAGTTTAGAGACAAATTTGTATCCGATTGAGATGTGCTTAAGAACACATCCTCGCTGGCGTACGCACAATTATTGTGCTTTCCGAGAGTGCAAGGTGAAAGCAGCGCTATAGGAAAGATATTATATAGCGCCTCGATTGCGACATGGTTCCCTTCGCATTATTATCGTTAATACAACTTGCGGGACCAACACAATAATTGTCATCTTGACATGTCCCCGCCACACATCGTGACCCTCCACCGTATGTGTGTGTGTGCTCCCCGATGTGTAATTGTAATCGTCATTTTCTTTTATTTCTGTCTGCCCCGTGTGTGTGCGCGCCCGCTGCTGCTGTGCCATGCGACAAGCAAAAGGAAAATAATACAAACAGTCGCGCTAATTGGGAGCAACTTGGAGAATGACTCGTGACTCGTCCGCGCGCGCGCGCCGCGGCCCGGTGCAATGGGGCGAGAGGGGCTCCCAGGGGACCCGGCGGTCCATTCATAACCAGAGGCTGCAGGCGACACACGGTAAAAACAATGTCTCATTTATCATTTTTTTCAGTAAAAAGGGAAAACTTTGAGGAACCCCCATGTTTGAGGAGGAAGAGTCCTCTTATCTCGCCTCAGATTTTGAGGAATCATTTCGAAAAATGAGGAAAATTCCCACATTTTTTGAGGAGACTTCCTCGAAATCTGAGGAGTTTGTCAAACCAGGGGAGTTCCTTAAAGTTTTCCCTTTTTCCCTCAAGAAAAATGGGACATTGTTTTTACCGTGCAGAGCGGGCGGTGCATTCGACCTAAAAGGGGTTAGGGGTACAGACAGGGTGGAACATTTCCAATAGCCGCACCGTGGCGCCAAACCGAAGAGCAGATATGCCCCCAGCAGGAGAGGCAGCCAGCAGAGAGAGGCAGCTAAATGTGTTTTCATTTTTTAATTACCCATATACTCGGTAATGGTCTCCTTTTGATTAAAGTTAAATATGGACATTGCGGCGGCGGTATGCCGGCGTCGGCCGCGCCTCGCGTCCGCGACCGGCCCGACCCGACCCGTCACCCGTCACGTCCAAGGTTGGGATCATCATCACCGTTTATGCGCCGTCAATACACAGCAGAGGGAGGAGCAGCAGCCCCCCCCCCTTAGTCCGCTAAACACACACACGCCGCTCTACTGCTCGCCGTAATAAAGAGATTAAGTCCGACCAGTTGATCCGCTCAGGACAGGAGTATCCCGAGTATCCCGACTATCCCAGAGTATCACCGATTACTCCAGTGCCTCGCGCGGGCAGGAATAGTACGTACTTTCTCGTTCGGGCGGGATGGCGGGCACGGCGCACATACGACGGTGATCCCCTTTCCGCACAACTCATCGCAGAAGTACCCCACCACGAGGCCCGCACACCCGCATGGAAGTACCCGGGCGCACACCCCCAAGCAAAAAAAAATGCGGTATGTTAAAATAGCAAAACTCAGGTCTTAGCGTTCTGCTGTTGTAGCAAACATTTTTTTTGTTTCCGCGCTGTTTTAACAAAAGTTTTTGTTGTTTCAGCAAAAAACAGCAAAACCTTTTCCGAAAACAGCGAAAACAAAAACATGTATGTTACAACGGCAAAACGCTGTAAGACCTGAGTTTGCTATCTTGGCAAACGGGCTTTTATGCGTTCCCGGAACTAACCCCATGGATGGGCACCCATCGGCACCGCACGAGCTTGTCCCAACATCTTGTCCCATTAAAAGTATACTGTACGTAGTAGTACCCCGGCACATCACACACCCCTGACACACCCAAGACCTGGCGGGCGGTCTCCCTCACCCACAGCCCGGGCCGCCGTCACATCAGCCCGCCGCGGGCAGGGTTTTGGCCCACACAGGCGTCGGTCCCGATGGCGGCGGCAGCAGCAGCCGGGCTATTACGCGGTGCGACGTACATGGCAAGGACGGTCACGACGGGCTGCCAGCTCGGGCCGCCCCGCCCTGGGGAGGGAGAGAGGGAGGGAGAAAGGGAAGAGAGGTCCTGCGAGGATTCGGGATCGGGTGATAAATAGGTCCTTGTGCGCGCCCCGGTGCAGACCTGACCTACCTCCTCCGGGAGAAGACTCCCTGCGGGGGTCTTACAAAAGTGTTTCAGCAGCGCAAAACGAGACGAGGGATGGACGAATGAAAAGGCGTCGGAAAGGAGGGCGCGACGGCGCGCCGTCTTAGCAGGCAGTCCCGCGCAGCACGCAGCGGTACTTTATCCGGGAATGAACCATCAGGCGGGGGTAAGGGAAAGAGAGCGGGGGAGAGGAGGAGTCACGTCTGGGTTTAGTGAAGAGGCGAGAGGGTTAGAGAGGGACGAGCGGGACGAGCGGTAGAAGCGATAGAAGCTCTGTACGGCTCCCGCGCTTTGCTACCGGTCTAGCCAAACTGGCCGCGCGTCGCCGCGGCTGTACCACCAGTCCAGTCAGTCCTCCGGTGAGGACCTCAAGATCGCCGCCGGCGCGACGCACACGCACGCCGCAGAATGCCACCCGGACTGGTCCGATACGGTGCGGGGCGTGGCGGCGGGCGGGGGGACGCTAAACTGCAGTCTGAGGCCGCGCTATGCATTGCTGTGCTCGTACACATATCGAAGAATCGAAGCGGAGGAAACTGTGACGGTTAAAGAAAAACCGTTAGTAGGAGGTCGATTTGTTCCCCTCTAAACTCATACCCCCACACACGAAACCTTATCACGACTTATATATAAATTTAGCACGTACTTCCGATGTGTTCACTTCTTTGCGTTCTCGAGTTTCAGCGGAATAATTCCTGTTGACTCTACAGCTTGACCCACTTCCGGGCCCAATGTACTAACGCGAGCCTCCTCCTGTTTGCAGCCCGACTACTACCACCACTCGCCGCAGTTCGTGCGGGTCGGCTCGGGCCCCGAGTACCGGCTCGAGATACCCCAGGCGCGTCTGGACTTCACCGGGACCTACGCCATCCTGGCCCGCAACCAACATGGGGAGGCTAAAGCCATAATATCTCTGCAAGTCTTCGCCAAGGGTGAGTAGTACGGACAGACGGACGGACCCGAGTACGTACGCCGTATACTGCTGAGCGCGTCTGCCGTAAGCCCACAGGGTAATTCTGCCACAAAGGGGTGAAAGAGTGGGGGGGGGGGAGGGGGCGAGTTGGAAATCGACCGCCACGCCCGACTGCCACAGAACAGCAGAGCCGCCCTTCCTCCTCAAGTTGGTCGCGCGGCGAAGGCCATTACAAGTTTGCGGAGATGAGAGGGGGCTACTTGTTGCACACGCTGGGCTGGGCCAAGAGTTTTGGGGGCGCGCCGCCACCCGTCACCGCGGCGGTCACGCCCTTATCTAAGGGCTGCCAGAGGGGCGACAGCGGCGACAGGCACCCGGCAGCTGCGGCAAGAACCTAGCGAGAACAAGCCCTGGTGTTCGTCGTCCTCGGGACACGGGGACCGCTCGGCTGTGTAAATAGTCGGGCATCAGCGAGCCCAAGAGGTGGCCGATGATGGCCGGTCAGTCTGCTGAAGGTGAGCAGTGCGCGGTGAGGATGACGCACGGCAACCGCGTCGTGTTATTGAAAACGCCGTGTTCGCGACAGTTTACCTGACGTACTACAAGAATTCGATTTTTCAAGATTCAAGATTCAAGATTCAAAGCGCGCGGAGCGCGCATTTATTCATTCTAAATAGGTGGAGTACAGGTGTACAGGAGTATTTGTGAAAGGTGGTTATAAATTATACAATATCGGCGCCGTCCACTCTTGCGAAGTCTTAACAGCTAGGAGAATATATTACAGTTTTTTAAAAGCATAGTTAGGTGGAGACATAGGTCATTTATAATAGTTTAGGAGCCTGCAGGGAGAAAAAGTATTAACATACA